CTGTTGTTGTGTTATGTTTTACTTACTGTTATCCTTATTGTTGTTGTTGTATTTGTATTTGTAGTTGTAGTTATTCCTGTTGTGCTTATTGTTCCATTCTTGTCATTGTTGCCTCAGTCATTGAAATTTACTGTAACAGAAATAGTAACAATGAGTCCTTGTATTCCTGTTGTCGTTGTGATTGTTGTTGCTGTTGTTGCTGCTGCTGTTGTTGTTGTTGCCGCTGTTACTGCAACAAAAACTAGCACAAAAACAACAACAATAGGGTAGCAATGCGCTACTATAATAAATCGAGTAAGATTTATTGACGAGTTTGGATTATGCAAAATTTATTAACAATTGTTTTGCGTCTTTCTTCTCCTCACCGCACAGCTATTGTTATTGTTTGTCTGCTGCTGCTGTGTTAGTTAAGCTGCCATTTTTGTTCTCTAAATTCAACTTGAAAGTTTATGCGCCATTTTGTAGTGCATTTTCAGTTTCCGCTCGAAAATTGCTTATTTAAATAATAAAACTCTGGCAAATTATTTTGTAAATATTTTTCTGAAATAAAAATAGTTTTATGAAATTTATACTTTTTAGTTTGTGTTTGTTATGAAATTATAAATTAAGTTTTTATTTATTGTTATTTCAGTTTAAACTCAATTTTATTTATTTATTTGTTTTCATTTTTAAAAAAATAAATAATGTTCAAAATTGCTGTAGGAAAAAAGTTTGACATTCAGAGAAGTAAATTCATAATCAATTGTTAATTAAACTGATGTTTGATTTACATCTTTTATGCAAACGGCTTTTAAACATCCAAAATTAGTACTTGGTCACTGCAATCAAACATTTTAATCACATGCTTCCATAACCAATGGAAGCTCTGTTTGAAAACCAAAAAACCAAAACCAATTTTCGGTTTTAGTTTTGCATAGCTTCATCCATCCGTCGTTGGGCCATTGACTTTATTTGAAAATTTTGTCTGTAAAATAGTCAAATTTTTATTGTAACTAAGAAGTTCTTTCTCTTAAAAGATCAGATAACTGGTCGGAATCAGTGCAGTGTATAACACAGAAGGCCACCACATAGCTACCGTGGGTCCCGTGGTTGTTTTTATCGTAGTCATGCGGTTATGATCTGATATGTCAATCTTGTCTTAAGAATGTAGACCAAACAGATCAATCAACATTTGCAAGAACTATATTGAGGTTGTGATATTCTAATAAAGCCGACCTCTTTCAGAAATGTGATGAAGAGAGAGCAAAAAAGAAAGGCGGACGTTTTGTAAAATATATATGAAATTGTTTGCAGTATAAGAAATTATTTCTCGTATTTACAAATCCGCCTGAATAATCCCCATGTTATAATTTTTGTTTAAAACTCAATTGTATGAGGAATGTATTCTTTTAGATTTAATCAAAAAGCGATATTACTATGTAAATCGAGAAGTCAGACATCTAATAAATATCTCTAATCCAAACTTATACCACCAAATGCAAGTTATTCTAGAGCTGTTAAAATCTTATAACTGGGTTAGCTGATATATATGGAATAACACATGTCTGTGATTGTCAGAAACTTACTCAAGTTTGGATTACAAACTTGGAAACTTGGAACGCAACTGATTTTAAACCTTTAAAATGTACTTGGGTTGGATTGGATAGATTTTTTGAGAGGATACTGCTAAAGATCCCTTCTACTTTTAACATATTCCCTTCTAATAATAATAAGTCAGAGAGCTAGCAAAAACGAGATAGAAAAAGAATTGTTGGATATGTACCAATAATATGCATTCACTATTTCATTAATTTTAATTTATTTGTGTAGCAAAATAATTAGTATATTTTGAAACACTGTTTTAGGATTTTATTGTGAATAGATATCTTTTTACGACAATAAAAATTTACTTAATATTCCGTTAAAAGCTTTATTTTAAATTTTAAAAATTGCAGACACCCATTTTCTATGTTACCAACTCAATAATAGGAAATACAAAAAACATTGTAATGTAAATAATTTTTTCCTATAAAAAAATTTAGACAATTTCAATATGCCATAATAGTAGAATTATATTAATCACCCACGTATACTTTTAAATTCTATCATATTGTTACTAAAACTAGTTTGTAGATAAAACTAAATTAATGTATCTTATTATAAAATTATAATACTTTGTTATCCTTTGATAAAGAAATGAATAAAGTTCCATAAAACATCTCAATTGACATACTTCTATGTTTTTCGTTATAACACTTAAATGTTACAAAATTTTATTCAAATATTCGATGTTATTTTAGGTTCTTATCCATGCTATTTTCAACAGTGGTGTCTACTGCTATTAATAGTTTTAAAAACGTTGATTTGATTTTTAAGTTGTAAAATTATAGTGGGTAATTCTATATGGTACATATACACACCAATAATATTATTTGTCCGTGCCTAAACTGAAGCCCCTTAACAGTGATGGCAAACTTAAATCGTATGCTATGTTGTAAGCAATAAAATAATTGATATACGGTTTTACGGTCAGCATAGAACGTAAGGATTCGTCTGTTCAAACTACTTCTATGTTTTTCGATTATAGTAATAATTTTAATAGAATTCCATGTAAGACATATGAAAGAGTTTATGGAAAGTTATCCTTATACGTTTACGGTATTGCGAATACACTGCAACTGAGAATCAAAATCACAACTGAAGAGATGAAAATTTGTATTATAAATAACACGTGAAACATAAAAAGAATTTATTATTAAAATTTTTGACGTGGTACTGCCGCCAGAAGAGTCCTATTGTACCAATTTAACTATTGATTACAGAAAGTCCTTTAAAGCTTTGTGAACAAAGTCTAGAACTAAATTTAGAGAAGAGCTCTGAATCTGTTCTGGTGACAGAAATTCTATATGAAATCAGTTCCTTCTGTGCGTTGTTAAAGGTGAACAGTCACAAAGAATAAGGAAAGTAGTTTTCTCATTTTCGAGGCATAATCTGCATTCCGAATTAGCAGATAGTCGTAATTTATGAAGGTGATATTTCAGACCATAATGTCCCGTAATTAAACCTGTTACCAACCTTATATTACCTTTTGAAAATTTAAGGATGTTTTTGTAGGAGTACGGTTTGATTAGTGCTTTGCTTTATCTAAGTCCTGTAAAGGTTTCCCAGTACTCTAACCGCATATGATTCTCAGAACAGAAAAAGAATAAAGCAAAAAAAAAAATTAAGAGAAAAATTTAGTATATACTTTCTAGGATCCTTTCTTGACCTATGCCACAGACATAACTAATTACTGTTTTTGAATGATTTTTCGAAGAATT